GGCATAATGCCTAAGGCATTTGACTGCTAACCAGAGGCTGGCGGTTCAAACCTACCAGCCACTCCTCAGAAGGAAAGTTGGGCAATCTACTTCCGTAGAAATACTGCCTTGGAAACTCAAGGATGGGTTGCTACAGGTTGGATCTGACTCGACAGCAGTGAGTTTGTTTTTTGGTTTTTTTACACACACACACACAAAATAAACCCAAACTCACTGCTGTCGAGTCTGTTCTGACTTATAGTGACCCCCTCCTTGGGTTTCTGAGGCAATATCTCTTACAGAAGTAGATTGCCCAGTCTTCCTTCCAAGGAGTGGCTGGTGGGTTTGAACCGCCAGCCTTCTGGTTAGCAGTCAAGGGCCTTAGGCACTATGTCACCAGAGCTCCTAATACTTCTATAGCAGAGTGTTAAGCATGGCATTCTTCTAAGTACAGGGTGCTGTGTGCTTGCATAGGGCAAAACCTTATGAAGCCAGCCCTGCTCCTGCAAGACAGCTGTTAGATATTTTGAATATCACTACTGGTTCCAAGCACCTTACAAGCATCGTCTCATTTACTCCTTACAATAACCAGATGTGGTTAGGGTTATTATCCCTTTTAACATTGAATAAAGGATGAAGCAAAGTCCAGATTTGGTAAGCTGTAGAGCTAGAACTCAAATCCGGCTTTGTCTGATTTGAAAACTAATGCTGTTACCTTCTACTGTACTGAGTACTAGCCTGACATGCTCTTCTTCCCACCATACACCGCCCCCCCACACACCTGTCTCTTCTCCCAACTCATCAAGTGTTACAGCTTCACACTCATCACCAGTCCACATTAAGGTGTTTTTGCCTCTCTTACACTTTAAAGCAATTGTTCTCTTTCCAGGCTGCATAGAGTCTCCTAGCAAAGTTTTTTTGTTTTTGTTTTAATTAATGCCAGAGCTCTATCCCAGAAATTGTTTCAACTGGTCTGGGGTATGCCCTGGGCACTGATGTATTAAAAAGCTTCCTAGATGGCCCCATTGTGCAGCCAGGGTTGGGAATCATTGCTTTAAACATTCCCATTATATTGCTTCTCTAAAAATCATCTGTCTTTAGCTGAAGGGCATCCAGTTAAAGTACTTCCAAACACGCAGGAACTTCTAGATCAGTCAATCTTAATCCTTTAGTGGCCCAAACACTACAGTGGGGGTTTGCAAACTCAAATGGGCATCACCTCCCTCCTGGACGTTCTAAAACTATACCTTCCCGGGTCCCACCTCCAGACATTCTTGTTGTACAGGTCTGGGATATGGGCTCAAGCAATGTGTATTTGTGATAAGCATCCCAGGTGACTCCTTTGGTGTTCAGGACTGCCAAGGAGAAACATTGCTCAAGGGAGATGAGTAACGATTTCAGGACACACAGTTACAACTCTTACCGTTTTGGAAAAAAAGAGGGCAGGTCATTTAGTCACACATCTTAGGAAGTATAACTTTGGCTTCAACATGCAATAATTTTAAGGACAAACTTTCTAGCTGGGAAATTTGTTCAGGTTTTTGTGGATGATTTTTCTTTTGCCCTCAGTGAGGACCTGGAAGAGGAGGCTTCAGCACACAGTTTACTCTTCCCCAGGCTTTGTTCGTGCTGACCAGAGGCCCCAGCATGGGCTCCAGCTAAGCTCACCCACTGAGATCTATGGATCTCACAACAAAACTGCCTTTTTCTTCAACAATTATTATTATGATTTGCATATGAGATCTATTTATGATTCTGGTTTTTGGTTCTTCATTTTCATACATTTAGGTAAAACTGAACCTCCCAGAATAGAGCAAATCCTCTCAAAGTGCTTGTGGCCCTTTTAGTACCTAGCACAGTTATAATTTCATCAGTCAGTCTGTAGTGCATCAGTGCCGGGAACACAATGGACATCAAAAAAAGCTGGTTGAATGGTTGAAGGAAAGAATGAGTCCTTTTGGAGTCGAGGACTTTATGGTTTTGTTCTTTGGTCCTGAAAAATTTGTAACCTAAACCTGGGTTTCTTTCTTTTTCATTAATCCTGTGGTTAATTGTTCTGATTTTATTGTCTTTGTTTCAAAATTTTTGTTTTGTGTCAGGAAGACTATTGTGCTAATATTATAGCTTCTTCACAGAAATCAAACCCATTTTTTGAAAAGATATCTTGAAACTCCTTTCAAGCTGTAAAAGGATACAAAGTAAGGTCACAATACATAATTAAAAAGTACATGTATGGTCAGTTAAATATAACTTACACTTTCCATTATGTCATTAATTTCTTCCTCTGAACTCTGAAGTTTGGTTAAAACAGCTGCTCTTCTTAGGTTCAGATATTTAAGTCGCTCCATCACTGTCTAAATTTAAAGAACAAATATTTAAAGACATCGGCATTTGAATGTCTCAAACATCCTGGAAGAGTGTAGCACTTTGTTTCTTTTTCATTGATTATAAAATTCAGGTAAGTTTGGTGGAAGAAATGGAAGCAAAATGAATATATTGGAGTTATGAGAGACCTGCTGATACAACCTCTTTATTTTATAATAACTGAAACTAAGAACTTGTCCACTCCACTATATCCTGGTATGGTATGACGCCTGTCATTATGAGTGTACTTGCCATGCCAATTATGAACCCTTCCCTTGCTCTACGGCAACCGGTTATTGCCTGCTAGCATCTGCCCATTTACAAAGCATTCTTAAAAACCAGAATCTAGGAATACTTGTCCTTGGTTAGACTCAGTTATAGTGAGGTGGACAACAGGTACTGCTTCTGCTTATCTAGCATCTGTATAGTCCCTTCTTTTGGTAACAATACCTCTACTTTCTTTGGAAAATGGCTCATTTCCCACTTTGATTCTGGAAGGGCCACAAACCACCACCCCTAACAGTCTCCCAGGGGCATAGCAAGGGTAACAAGCATCCCGGGACCCCCACCCTCAATTTCAAGATGAACAGACACTGATAGTGGCGAAGTGTTAACAGAAATGCCTATCTCCCACTCTTGTCAGGCTGCCATAGTCAGGCGCCTCTTGGAATGTCATGCCGCACCTATCTGGCACCCCCTTGGATTTGAACCCCCCTAGAAAATGAAGATACTTTCATTTCAGGAAAAGAAACAACCCTGCATCTGTACTTCTTTACATTTGAAACGAGGAGTTATCATATGAAATATTTTAAACGATGCACTTAAGTGTTGTTATTATGCAGGGAAGAATCAGCTTAGCCAGAAATCATGTTGTTGTTATGTACCGTCGAGTGGACCTGACGCAGCGACCCTCCTTGGGTTTCCAAGGCAGTATCACTGGAAGCAGAGCGCCCAACCTTCCTTCCGAGGTTCTGGTGGTTCTGGTTAGTAGTCAAGTGCCTTAGGCGCTATGCTACCAGAGCTCCCTGCCAAAAATCATATTCACTTTTAAATTTTACACACACAAAAACAATCATCTAATTTTTTTTCTTCTTTCTGATTATAAACATCTTGAATAAAAATCTCTCTGTATTTCCTTAGAATAAATTACTAGGCTTTGGAGTTCTTTGGACAAAGACTATAATACCCCATTGCCTCAAGTTGATTCATAGCAACCCTATAGGACAGAGTAGAATTGTCCCACAGGGTTCCCAAGGCTGTACATTTTTACAGAAGCACACTGCTACACTATTCTGCTGCAGAATAGCTGGAGGGTTTGAACTCCCAACCTCTTAGCACCTGAACATTTTAACCACTGTTGCACTTACAGCTCCTTACAAGGCATATGTTGTTGTTGTTGTTGTTATTTGCCGTCGAGTCGGCCCCGACTCATAGCGACCCCTCCTTGGGTTTCCAAGGCAGTATCACTACGGAAGTAGGATTGCCCAACCTTCCTTCCGAGGAGTGGCTGGTGGGTTTGAACCGCCAGCCTTCTGGTTAGCAGTCAAGTGCTTTAGGCACTATGCTACCAGAGCTCCTTACAAGGCATATAGGCAGTTAAAATATTTAAATAATTCTTTGGATACACATATGCCATATTATTTTGCAGAATAATTATACCATTGTATGCTCCTACTGAAGAGGAAGATCACTTACAAAGAAATGTGTAATATTTTTTATTATTTGGTTGCTGCTGCGATGGGCTCAAGTATAGCAGGGATCGCGGAGCAGGCACGGGACTGGGCGGTGTTTCGTTCTGCTGTGCATGGTGTCGCTATGAGTCGGAGACGACTTGACGGCACCTAACAACAACAATAACAACATGCTCCTACTGACAGGGAGAGCATCCATCTTCCCAAACCTTCCAAATCCTAGGTTTCAGATATATTTGTTAAATCTGCCATGAAAATGTTTCACTTTTTAAGTTGTATTTCTTAGATTAATAATTATAGTCATTAAAAAATATTTATTGGACATTTTGTTTGTAAATGATCTTCATGCCCTTTGCCTATTTTTCCATTGAAGCACTTGCCCTTTCCTATTGAAATATCAGGGTTTTTTTTAATAACTAAGATAGTCAACTTTTGTTTATAATTATGGAAAATATTTTCTCCACATCGTCATTTGCTTTTTTTAAATAGTGAAATGATACTGTATTTTTCTAATATATTCTTTTTAAAAAACAACTATGCTCCACATACCATGTAATTCATCAATCTGAAGCATATAATCAGTGGTGCTTAGTATATTCAGAGTTGTGCAACCATTACCACAAATTAGTTTTAGGCCCTTTTCATCACTCTTCTGGTGGTGTAGTGCCTAAGGCATTTGACTGCTAACCAGAAAGCTGGCGGTTCAAACCCACAAGCCACTCCTCAGAAGGAAGGTTGGGCAATCTACTTCTGTAGTGATACTGCCTTGGAAACCCAAGGAAGGGTCGCTATAAGTCAGGTCTGACTTGAGGGCAATGGGTTAATAGCAACGCTGTATTCATGAGTAGTTACTCTCTACCTCCCTCCCCTCACCACCCTCACCCTTACTGTTCCTGCCCTAGGCGACCACTATCTATTTTATGTCTCCATGGATATACCTATTTTGGACAGTTAATCTAAATGCAATCACATACTATACGGGCTTTTATGGCTGGCTTCTTTCACTTAGCATAAAGAGTTCAAGGTTCATCCACATTGTACCACGTGTCAATACTTTCAGTTCTTTTATTGCTGTATAACATTGCATAGTATGGAATATTTTATTTATCCATTTGTCACTTGATAGACACTTGAGCTGTTTCCACTCTTTGGTTATTGTGAATAATGCTGCAATGAACATACATGAATTTTTTTTTTCTCCCAACGGACATACTTTTACTTCTCTTATGTATAAACTTTGGAGTGGAATTGCTGAGCCCTATGGTAACTCTATGTTTAACCTCTGAGGAACTGCCAAACCGATTTCCAAGTTGCTGCATCATTTTACACTTCTCATCAACACTACTAAAGCAGAGAGTCAACGTAAAAGGGGAAGAGGCTCAACAAGATGGATTGGCACAGTGGCTGCAAGGATGGGTTCAAGCATAGAAAGGATTGTGAGAATGGTGCAGGATCGGACAGTATTTCATTCTGTTGTACACAGGGTCACTATGAGTTGGAGCTGACTCAATGACACCTAACAACACTTGTAACTTTTTCTTTTTTTCTTTCTTTCAGACATCCTGTTATTAGTTGCCATTGAGTTGGCTCCTACTTGTGGGGACCTTACATATAAACAACAAAATGTTGCCTTTTTTTTTTTTTTTTTTTTCATGATTATCAGTACACATGAGCCCATTGTTTTTCTAATTGTGTAATTCATCTCACTGAGGGTTTCCTTTGTTTTTTGCTGATGCTCTACCTTATCAAGTATGATGTCATTTTCTGGTGATTGAACGATCACTAATTGAACAATCTAGTGATTGAACAATCCTAATGACATGTCCAAAGTAAAGAAGCCAAAGTTTTACCATCTTCACTTCTAAGGAAGTATTATCTCATTATGGGGTTGATTTGCATTATGGTAGCATAGTGCCTAAGGCACTTGACTGCTAACCAGAAGACTGGCAGTTCAAACCCACCATCCACTCCTCGGAAGGAAGGTTGGGCAATCTACTTCTGTAGTGATACGGCCTCAGAAACCCAAGGAGGGGTCACTTTGAGTCGGGTCTGACTCAACAGCAGTGAGTTTGTTTTGTTTTTTTCTAATGAGTCCCAAGTTGGTGCAAAAGATGACATGGTGGACTACAGCAGACAGGCTGGGAGAAGTAGGTTCAAGTTCACCCAGGTGTGCCTTAGAAGACAGGCCTGGTGATGTTCTGAAAGGTCATAGCCTTGAAAACCCTGTTATGCACACATGGAATCAGAGTGCATTGGAATCGACTTCATAGCAACTAACAATAATAACGAATGATATTGAGCATCTTTGCATGTGCTTATTAGCTGTCATTTGCTTTTACTTTTCTTTGAGGTACTTTTTACCATATGCAGATTTTAAATTCAAATATAGTTTTGATTTAAATATCAAAAATAGACAAGTAAATAAAACATCAAAATTTTAAGTGGCAAAATGAATTTTCTTAAAATAAATTGTATTAAAATGTAAATATATTTCTGATGTTTATTATAATAAGTATGGAGTTGTGGTGGCGTAGCGGGTAAGTCATTTGAATGCTAACCAGAAGGTTGGAGGTTCAAACCCACCAGCTGCTCTGTGGGAGGAAGATGGGGCAATTTACTTCCATAAAGATTTATAACCTCAGAAAACCAGTGGGGTTGCTGTGAGTCAGAATCAACTTGATGGCAGTGGGTTTGTTTTGGGTATTATAACAAGTATAACACAGTCAATAATTTTTTTATTTTCTAAATTGTGGGATATTTTTCCCAATAATTGCACTTACCAGGAGAAGATCCTCTGGTGGCTTATTTCCATCTAGCTCAATGAGATACTGGGAATTATGTTCAGCCATTATTTCCTGCACATAACAGAAATCTTAAAAATCCAGGATCATAGGGAAAACTGGATACAAGATCAGAATCTTAACACACTGTGAAGAAATCTTTAAAGTGAAATCTTTTTCTTTATACATGGTATAATATAATTTTCAGTGATCTATTTTAAAGTCAGTACTAGTCTTCTTATCATTAATTTTATTCCCCTACTGTTTTCTCTATACTGAAATCTTAACGTCCTTTCTAATGGAAAATGTTTTGGGGAGTTTGTCTATCTACACATATTGAAACTCTGGTATCTGGTTTTGAAACCAGAGAAGAGCTTGATTGAAATTTAAGTCAATATACTTTCTTCACATAGATACTGTTGTTGTTGTTATGTGCCATCGAGTCGGACTCGACTCATAGCGACCCCCGTTGGGTTTCCAAGGCAGTATCACTATGGAAGTAGATTGC